CATCCCATCTTGCAACATTCGGAGTTGTATTAGTTTCTAGAAAATCATGTGCGTTGATAAATACCGACGATAAGGCGATCACAATTTTCGGGAAGCGGAAATGCAGCCAAGGGAGAACATTGAAATTCAAACAACGATTATTATCAGGACGAGTTTGGTGCTTACCGATTAAAAAAACGGGACCACTCCACCTGCTACTATGCTTTAAGCAATAACTCCCACGACCGACTTTCTATTAACCTCGGCATTGATCAAGTAATTCTTCGTATTTTTGTTGAGCAAACGTGAGGTGTTATTATTCTTTATTCACGAATAAGCTGACGTTTCGGCGGATTTCGCCTTCCTCAGAACCGCTTTCTGTGAGGTTTCCACTAAGTATGTCACGTAGAGACCAAGCGCACAGTAATCACATGGAAGCATAATACATTAATGCATAGCACATTGTGCTTCCATGTGATTTCTGTGCGGTTGGTAGGGACTTGTTTTTACGGAGAGTCAAGCGAACAGCAGGAACACCACCGACTTTACCTAATTTCCTCATGAAAATGGTACAGGAAAGATACAATGCTCTTCGAGTTCCTATGCCGAGAAGGCGGGTGATCATCAATCCCTGAATCCTTTCCATTCTCAAGAGCATCCTTATAACTCCACATGTCTTCTTATCGCATCCTGCAGCATTTTTTAAAAAAAAACTATTGTTTATATCTAAGCCACCATTTGCGTTTCGTACCTCAAATCACAAATGTTGAATTATATTTGGAAGGACCTCAGATAAAAATGTTGCGAATGACTGTCACAGTTGAAAGTCAACGATAACCTTTGCTTGTTTGCTGAAGCTACGAAAGGTAAGCATCAAAATTGTAACTATATTGTCCGCATGGCGTGAATTCAAAAGATTTCCCTAAAATAAATCCCTATTTGCATTATAGGTTTTTATACAGACAAGTTTAAGGACTTTGCAGCCAAGGGAGAACATTGAAATTCAAACAACGATTATTATCAGGACGAGTTTGGTGCTTACCGATTAAAAATTCTGGACCCTTGAATTTAATACTCTTAACAAGTGTGATGTACCACGAAGGTCACAATTAATTCGAATCCTTTTCTAAAATTGTTTGCTGTGGGCGCGATTCATACGAAGTGCACTAGGTAATGCCTAATGTGCTCAATCTTATGACGATCCAGGAAGTATTTACCGCAAATGGAAGGGATAGCGACTAGGAACAAGCCTTCTTAATGTTTTCATGCTCACAGTGAAAGTTATATCGATGACAACGAAAGGAGACTGAACCGACCAATGCTGCGATCTATGGTCACGAAAACCAAGTAACAAACACTTGCTGTTCCATTATCTCTCCTGTCGCACACAACACACAACGTGGGCTCTTGTGAGGAAGGTAACTATAATACCAGCAGTGTGGGTATAAAAAACAGCGAAAGGAAAAATTTTAAAATTAGCATAGCAAATAGACGCTTCCAATGGGTACGAAATGGTAGCTTCTCGCAATTCGTCTATTCGCTATAAAGTGATACCGAGAAAGGGCCGGTCTAAAGAATTATGTAGCAGTGATTGAAGTAACACTGAACACTCTAAAACGGCAGCTAGTTTGCAACAACTTGTATGTCTATGCAGAACATAAAATTGCCTTTACTGTTGATACGGTTATTTATTGAGTTCGGGTAAGGTGCACCTGTTTTTTTTGAGTGTGTAGGATTATCGCTGATTAAGTTCATGAACCATTCAGCATCCGTATAAATGAGCACCGAGCAAGAAGCTTAAAGACGAAGAAAACACGTCACTAGTTACACAAAGAGCGCGAAAATATAACGAAGAAGATTCCGAAGTTAAAGTCGCTTTATTCCCACTGCGATCGGAAACATCTGCCCGTAAAACTTTTGAGGCAATTCAGATAATTCAGATAACTTCCAAAAATCCAAAAACGGACCGCAGTGGGAATGATTTTCAGTCGGGCGTGACCCCGCAGCATACTTCAGGGTGATTTTTGACCAGACCCAGTGGTAATTCTTAGCAATGTAAAGGCCTGTGCGGCTGCTCCTCCAACAGCAACTGACAGCGTTAATGAAAACGAAACGGTGAGTGGAACAACAAGGACGCCGAGATATGAGTAAAACTCATAGCCGAAAGTGGACATGGAATCAGCCGTTAACTTTGCCAGCTGCTTGTAGGCTGTCGTCCACATTAACCGAGCACCCTGTCTTTTCTCTTTTCAGCTATGTTTTCACTCGTAATAGTGAAAATGTGCTAGACATCCTCTGCTACCATAAAACGTTCAATACAGTTAAACTGGGTAAGGCGACGAATATCGCTTTGTCTTTAAAGCCGTTTACAACTGGAAAAGCAAACCACGCCATTTAGCCGAAGATTTTCACATTGGTAGCTCACTCTGTATTACGAGACTGTATTACTTACTTATTTGGACACTTGGACGGTTCGTCTTCACGAGGTGTGCGGACCCGAGCACATATGCCATTCGTTCCTTTCTCTCGCAACCGTAGTCCGTGGTAGTGCTCTTGTTCGAGCATGGTAGCGCTTGAGAGTCTCATACCGTGATCTGTAAAGCAACTGCAGCTGCGAGCACAGCTGATTAACCTTGTTTACGAATACGTCCGCCCAACGTGTAGGTGGTCGTCCAAGGGGACGTTGCATTCTCTTGGAGTCCACTCTACTGTTCTTTTCGTCCATCTGTCGTCTGTTCTTCTCATTATGTGACCAGTCTATCTATGTTTCGCTGTCGATTTATATTATCCTCGATCTCGAAGACGTGACAGATTTCGAAGGTCAGAGCTTCGCATTCCGGCTACATATTGAGAGTGCCGGTTATATTTCAAAATATATCGCTCAAACGCTCCGTAAGTAGTTCGAAGCATTCTTGACGTGGTTGGAGTATCAACCCACGTCTCTGAAGCATAACAGAGCGTTGGGAAGAGCGTGGAATCAAAGAGATGAGCGCCGATTTTCGGGTCCTTCAGTTGGTTGGTGGCTTCTTTGAGAGGCCCGAATGCAGCCCAAGCTGCTGTCATTCCTCTATCTAGTTTCCCTTTCATGTTGTTTTCCATGTTCGTTGATCGCCCAAGGTATGCGTAGAAAGTGGTGTCTGCAATGAGAGAGCCATCCAAATCAATTTTTTCCTCTTTGTACCATAGGTTCTTCATGAACTGGGTCTTCTTTCGATTTATACGAAGTCCGATTCTTTTCCTCGCTTCGTTGAGCTCGTTGATCATCATCTCTGCTTCGTTAGTACTTCTTGAGAAGATGACAATATCGTCGGCAAAACGGAGGTTTGATAGGTATTTTCCATCAATACGTATGCCTTTTTTTCCCAATCGAGTGACTTCACTATCCACTGCAGTGCAGCACTGAACAGCTTTGGCGTCGCCCTGTCGGACCCTTTTTCTATGGGTATGGTAAGAGATCGATGGAATGCTGTATTTTCGTAGTGCAGTTCTGATAACAATCGGACAGAGTCCTTATGTAGGACGGGTCCACTCCTTGGTCGACGAGCTCTGATAGGAATGCATTCGTTTCGACACTCACAAATGCTTTCTCATAATCGACAAAGGTTAGGACTAGAGGCAAGTGGTATTATCGACAAACTCCGTTGACCCTGGACACGGTTTGGATGTGGTCCATGCTGCAAAATCCTTTTCGAAACCCTGCTTACTCCACTGGTTGCGCCTCATCCAATGTCCTTGATATGCGCGAGAGGATAATCTTCGTGAAGAGCTTGTAGAGTACACTTAACAAGCATATGGGACGATAGTTACGAAGGCCCCTTCGGTTTTCTTTCTTGGACAGAATGACTGTGCCCCACGGCTTCCACTGGTGTGGGATTTTTTACCTTTTGAAGATAGCCTGTCAAAAGATCTGCGAGAAGTACATGTAAATTGTGGCCTCCAGTTCTAAGGAAATCGGCAATGGTATTATCGAGTCCTGGAGCTGTGCCTCTTTTCATGCTTTCAATCGCAACTCGAACATCGGACGGAAGAATTCCAGGTGGTTTTTCTCTAGCGGAATATTAGAGCTCGGGACGGGGATTGTGGAACCGAAAGGGCTGGTGTAGAACGTTTCCACTATTAATTCCATATCATGGCGGGATGTTTTGACGACTCCATCTTCTATAATGCTGAGATGTTTGCAAATCTCCGGACCGCAGGTTTCTGAGGTGGAGAACGAACGCGCTATTGTCCTTTCCGGGGAGTAACGCGTTCACCACCACACCACACGGGTCCTTCGTTTCACCTGTATCTCAGCTAGTTCTATCGATCTTTTGCCATCAGCAATCACCCGTCAACGAGATTGATCTGCAGAGCCCAAATCGGCATTGAATCCAGTTAAGCTGAGGCTATACTTATAATCACAATATTAACTTTTTCATTTACTGCCCATTCTTTTTAACGGCAACGAAGGACCAGCATGGTGTGCTGGTGAACGCGTTACTTACCGGAAAGGACAATAGCGCGTTCGCTCTCCACCACAGACACCTGTGGTCCGGAGTTTTGCAAATATATCAGCATTATAGTAGTTATATCTCGCAAAATGCCCTTCCGATAAAAAGAATAGGCAGTAAATTAAAAGGTTAAGATCCCATCTTCGTTCTTCAGGACTGACAGCGGGACATTATCACCACACAAGTCCCGACGGCTTTTTTTCGGACTGCTCCTTTTCTCTGCTGCTTCCAGTATTTTCTTCTGCTTGTACCGCTGTAGATCTTCCTGTAAAACTCTTTTGCAGCTGGCATTTAATACTAGCCATGCTAAACGTGTTGCAGTAGGATCAAGCTTCAGTTTCTTTCTCTTTTCGAACAACTCCTTAGTAGTGATGGAGATGCGATCCGGTCTTCTTGCTTGAGGAACTAAAGCTAATTGGGCACAACTTTTCAGTCCTTCGACAAGCAGCTCGTAGTCTTCGGTCGGGTCTTCTTTATTCTGCCAGTCACGTTTGGATAGGACTTTGTTCAGAATGTTTTCGTTGTATAAAGCTAGAGTTCTTCCTCGTAATCGATTAAGTGAATTTTCTCCAGCTTACGGCTGAATCGAACACGAAGGCGGTGTTCGGAACCAGTACAGAATGACGGGACTACCGATGTGTCAACTAGGCGCCATCTTCTATTTCTCAGGGTGTGGTCGATCTCCGCATGAGTCATGTCGTTGGGAGACTCCCATGTCCAGCAGAGGCTTTCTTTCTTCTGGAAGAACGAGTTCCCATGGAAGAGACGTGCTGCTGATAGGAGTTCAGCGAAACGGTTCCCATTCTCATTTCTTTCTCCTAATTCAAAATTTCGGATCCTGTATTCGCTCTCGTTAGCCATTCCTATTCTGGCGTTGAAATCTCCAACAACAAATTTATGATATGCTTTATCATTGCGGGTGACTTCTTCTAAACGATGGTAGAACGCATTTAATTCGCACTCATCAGCTGCGTCGGTCGATGAGTAGCAGTTGATGATTGTGATCTTCTTATGACGCATCACTTGAAGATGAAGGACGGATATGCGAGGGAAAGGGTCACGTATGAGTCGACGAGATGGACAATGGACGGTTGGACTACAAAGCCTACGCCACCAACATTTCGTGACGGGACCTTTTCTCCATGAATCGTAAGGGTCCCGTTGTTTAGTTGACGTATGTCGGTCTTCTTGGCTTTTGTTTCTTCTAATGCGATCACATGATTTAATGCGATCTGCGGCTACAAGAAGGGCGTGAAGATCGGCGTCTGTGGAGAGTGTTCTGGCATTATACGTGCATATTAAGAAACAATTTCCATAGAGTGTCGTACGTGTGTTCGTCAGATCTGGTTCCAATAACGTCCTGCGTAACCCCAGATTTTCTGGCCTCTCACCGGTCTTCTCACCGCCTGACGTCATAGACGAGAGCATCCAGTGTGCGGAGTACTATTGCTAGCCGTGCAACTTAGTCTTCCCTGGAGTCCTGCCGTAACCTTGTAATGGCGTATCCAGGTCTTCACCACGATGTAGATCAGAGGGAAGTGTGTATTCGGCGACGAATCCTTCGCTCGGTCTACCTACTAGTTGATTCGGAGAGATGTTAAAACCTCAAGCTTGGGTAAATAAAATTAATGGATATATATATCGATTACTTATGCCTAAGTTTATAGAATGTTGGCCTTTTGAGTGAACTTGTATTTAGTTCCTTCATTTCAAAGGCGCACAGTAGCAAAGAAATAGAAAACGCAGGAGTATAATACAGTACGTTTGTCGCACAATACAACTTATATAGGTTTTATCAAAATATTACGACTCGACAATGTGTATTTGCTGTACTCTGAGGCTCTTTTTGAAGCAGAACATCTAGAGTGCAGTGTGTAGACTTGCTATCACTGTGTGTGAATCGTCGTTTGCATTTAAAGAGATAAATGTTTGCCATGACAAACCAAGCAAACAAAGTGCAACACATCCGTGCACGCGCCCTGTCGCCCCTCCATCTCCTCCACTCATCTATCCCTTCGTCCTTCTTTCCCTGCTCACTACTCGAACACATCGTCGTTCAACTCGCCAGCTGTAATAAAACGCGGCCATGATGATGGCGTTTAGTTGAAGTAGCGCATGATGTGTGCTGATGGTATTTTTTTGGCATTCGTTAGATGGGTCAGCTGTGCTTCTGCATTTTTGCGTGTTGTTCAAAACAATTGACTCCAAAGACGTTGTGTAATCTTATCTTTAACTAAACGACCGCCCGATAAATGAACAACGCATATGGCATAAGAATTTGTGTGAAATGAAATCCTAGTGAAGTATTGGTGTTAACATCAGAATACTTCGTAGTTAAGGACACATTCTGGTGGAAATTCAGTTACCAAATCACTTACGAGATTTGTGGGGCTGATACGGCGGCTCTCATCCGTGAAATCAATTGTGCTCACGATGGTGACAAATCACTTCATCCTTTAATGAGCATAAACCGGCACAACACATTGACAACGTCAAGTATTCGGCCTCTAAACATCTAGGTTTAATTTAGCTACGGATTGCTTGTAACTTATAAAATACTCTTCATATTTCCTAAGTTCAAAAGATACTGGACAGCACATACATTCACGTAACAAACGCGCCCGTTTTTTGACAACCATTTCTTATTCTAATAAGTTTTTCCCAAATGCTGTTGTTACAGATGCGGACATCGTCAAAAATATGCCTTAATTTAGTTCGTCCTCACTCACTAGATGAGCTCCACAAAGAACACTGCAGTAGGATGAAAATCAAAAGATTAAAAAAAAAATAAAAAAATATTTCTTTTTTGTTTCGTCTTCTAAAAAAATTTAAAACAAAAAAAAACTCAAAGTCAAAATTAAAAAATCAGTTAAAGATAAGATTATACAGGGTCTTTGGAGTCAATTCTTTTGAACAACACGCAAAAATGCAGAAGCACAGCTGACCCATCTAACGAATGCCAAAAAATACCATCAGCACACATCATGCGCTACTTCAACTAAACGCCATCATCATGGCCGCGTTTTATTACAGCTGGCGAGTTGAACGACGCTGTGTTCGAGTAGTGAGCAGGGAAAGAAGGACGAAGGGATAGATGAGTGGAGGAGATGGAGGGGCGACAGGGCGCGTGCACGGATGTGTTGCACTTTGTTTGCTTGGTTTGTCATGGCAAACATTTATCTCTTTAAATGCAAACGACGATTCACACACAGTGATAGCAAGTCTACACACTGCACTCTAGATGTTCTGCTTCAAAAAGAACCTCAGAGTACAGTAAATACACATTGTCGAGTCGTAATATTTTGATAAAACCTATATAAGTTGTATTGTGCGACAAACGCATCATTGAATATCTTAATCAAGATATCAGTGAAAAACCCGTAAATCGGGAGAATTCATAGCAATTTTCACTAGCGACATAAATCTTTGAAGTGAACATACTTATGACATAATTCATTGTTAATCAATAGCCAATTAAAATTTGAAGTGTTGTGGAACGACATAAAATCAGTGGATCTCTTATGTGACAAAAGCTTACCCGCTCTTTTCATCTACGTCTACAGCAGGAAGTCCTAATCTTTCTTTTATGTGAGGAAAAGCTATAAAAGAAAAAAAGGATGCGTATCAGCTGTCAGGGAAAATTTTATATTATGACAAGCGCTTTCGGTTTCTCAACGTAAGCTGTGTTCTAATCACACGCCCGAACCTTATTGGAACACGGGCAGTTGAAGTAAATTCTCAATTTCAAGAAACAAATAGGAAGCGGAAAAGGACTTCTATGGAAATTTAACTTTCTTTGAAAGTGGCAAATAATCTAAAGACCATGTCACGCAGTTGTTCACAAGCTGCCAACTGAACTTGTTGAATGAAGCGTATTTTCAAACGGAAGAGACTTTTTAGCAATCCTCATGGAATTTTCAAGTACTTCAAGCATTTGTAGAATTTGCTTGTGTGTGTGGTGTACATGCATAAACATATATGTATATAATGTATATTATATATATATATATATATATATACGTTTCCTTCTGACTGAGGCCTGCCACAATTGGCTATTAACAGCTAACGTCAAATGCAAGCAAGTAACAAAAAATCCCATCAATCACTGTGTGTCATTCGCAGTCGTTGTATTCTGTGACGAAATAACCTAAAACAATTATAGTGTTCTATTAGAAGGCCTTTCATTTGAAGAAAAGCCCACACAAATAATGTTTCGATTCCCAGGATCGACTTTCTACTAACCTCGGCATTGGATTATTAATCTGTCGTTTTCTTTCTTAGCAATCGCGAGGTTGTTTAACAGCTTTGTAGTGTTCCAAGTTAAGTTTACGACTGTGATCGAGCGACTGATCAGTGCGGCAGGATAAAGCCTTTTGCATAGTTTTCAATTCATCAAATTCACCGTAAAAGAACTTCGCACCGTTTCCGAGAAGGAAAACATTATTTTTTTTTACTATAAAACCCTATCGAATTGCTTCTAATTAGTGAATAATTTGCATAAAAATATACTCTTTAAGCCGGCTCATCAAGCCTGCTATCTCTCCGGGATGGGTAGATTGATGATAGACTTGTTTTGGAGGACGGCAACGTTGATTTGAAGCATCGGCCGCTGTAAATCACTGCATCGGTCAAATTCAGCCACCTCTACGATGCTACGAATGGAAGTGAATTCATGGCGCATCTCTCAGGGATTGTTTGACGCCGAAAACTTCGTTTTTACGCTCTGTGGAAGTGAAAAAATTGAGTAGTCGAATTTCTAGTATTGCTGAAATTCATGCATTCGGAAAAGTCTGTCATAATAGGCTCCGAACCGACATTATAGAAGTAGTAATTAATTCGTCATGATTTTAACTTATTATTTACTGCCCACTGAGGGAAACGTAATAGGTTTCGAGCCGATATTACAGAAGCAGTAATAAATTCGTCATGTTTTTCAAGTACGGAGTTCTCTTATCTTATGCTCCACTTGAAAGCATTTGGAAAAGAGCTAAAACAAATCCTGTGCCTATTTATCGGTCGTACGGCTTTAATTTAACCATTTTGTTTAGTCGTTGGTTCAGTTGTACTCATCGCTCAAATAACTTTACTCGCTTTTTGTGCTTTTTTTCCGGCTAGTCATAAGCAGCCCTTCGGGTCAAAGATATTCACGATGTATATGGAAGAGATACGATCACCGTTCATACGACGAGTTATATCATGAGTAGCACAGTTATTTGCAGAACATTTCTTCCTAATCTTAGGCAACGTTTACGAAATTGAAAGACTTTTATTTTCAACGTTTATTACGCGTTTGTAGCAATGGGAATCATGCAGGTGTACATTTTATTCGTTTGGAGCAGTTTTGACGCAACGAAGACCTTTGAACCTGACGTTACTATCAAAGATATCCTTTGCGGTCCACCTAAAACAGTCTTTCATCATAATCGTAAATGCATCGTTGTGAATAATAATACCCACTTTCCACGCTTGCATTGGATCAATTTGCTGATTCCCAAACCTTCACTGAGAACTTCATTGTCATTGGTCAACAGTTGTACATCTTCGCCGAATGAATCGCATGTAACAATTGCCTTGCAATGATGCTGTAGATATCTACAAATTTAGATAGTTTGTCATTTCTGAAAGACCTTCGTAAGGAGCGAATCTTACTTGACTGTGGGTTTGAAACATTCCGGTGAATTCTTGCATGACAACTTCACCCGAGGACAGTAGTCGCAGTAGTATTCTAAAAACACTAGCCTCAAGCAATTTCCTACGCATTTTCTGAAACTTACCTCTACTACTCGGTGAGCTTCTCGAGTAATGACGGCGAGGATAGAGCTGCAACCGAACGATATACAAACGTTTTAAAAAAAAACTACTGTTTAAAAGACCTACAAATTCATGGAAAGCCGGGTGTTCAGGGTAATAAGTAGGTCCATACGGTGGTTTCGGGTAGTAACTTGATGAAAAACTACCGGCTGACATTGACGCTCCTGAATTTCCATCGTATGGCGGGCTTGGTTTCGGGGGATAAGGAGGTGGTGGAGGGTACTGAGCGTAGGTGGTGCACACAAAGACGGCAAGCGCAGCAATAAACATTATCGTTGTTTCACCTTAAAATTAACTGAAAACAAAAAAATTAGTGACTTTTTGATTTCTATCACAGTAACTGCATTTAATCTTCTACAGCACATGAGGATGTGCTCGTCATGAACAAGAACTCTTATAGAGCAAGAACAAGAACATACGTAGACTGGGAAAGTATTCCGCCACTGTAGATGGCAGCGAAACAATTGAAAGTCTGAACACTCAGTTTGCAGTTAGGATAAAAAGTCTTCGAATTACAGGCACTCTTTCTATGGATGTCTCCTAACAACGCAATGAGGAAGACAGCGGCTTGTATTTGAATGGAATTGATGTTTTCGAAAACATATCTATGCTGATAGGAAGTGCTTTTATACTGCTCACTAAATGATTCGATTTGAACAATCATCATTGTTTCTATTAGAAGAAAATCTGGAATTCTCAACAAAACACAATCATCAACTGCATTTTGAATACTCGTGGCATAACGCTTATTTCAAGAGAGCGTCTAGTTGGAGATTCTGTTCAACCAGTCCTGCGATATTTCAATAGAAACCTTGTGCAAGTTTTTAAACATTCAGTAGTCCTTCATCGTTTTATAGACAAGGTTATCTCATAAAAAAGTGACTACTATGACACTGAAGTGTTCTACTCTTTCATCTCAAAAATCTCATTCACTTTCCCACTTGAAATGTAGTGTAGTTCAACAGACTAATTTCTTGTTGTGAAGAATGCTTAGAGGTGCCAAATCTCCAATTTACACAGTCTCATGATTGTGCCACCCCTGGAATGTCAACATCACGTTTTATTTTGAAAAGCAAAAGCTTCTAATCAACGATTTCAAAGCAAGAATTAGTCATTTAAAAGAGGATTCATCTTCATTTCATGATGTCACTGCGTATATCATTCGATACGTTCAATATCAGAGGAATGTGCTTGCCTTTTGTTCAAAGCGAATCGTTTCATTTCGGAAGACTTCTCGTATTTATCTTTGTAGCATTTGTTTCTACTGTAGGAAGAAATGTGCACGTTGAGTTTATGGCGGCTACCTTTTTATTTGCGTAATTCGAGAAATGACCCTGACCGAGTGACCTCCCATATCCTTTTCTTGAAATGGGTCCTTAGTTTTTTGCAGTTTAGAATCGCACCCACACACTCTCGCAGACCAAATAGTATGACTCGAACCTTCTCTATTTTAATTAGTATTTCTATTGAAATTCCAGAAATGGATTACGCCTGTGCTTCATTCTCAGCATATTATAGCGATTGGCTCAGCTCCCGCAGTTCCACCGCAATACTTTCCAAAAAGACGTTCCAAGACCTGTGCTCTATCCGCAGTCGTGTTTGGAAACAGATGGAGGTCACGTAATCCCTCTAAAGCGTATCCAGAAATGGGTCAGGGATTCGTAGTTCCTTCACAGCTCTACCAAAAAGAAGATCCAGAACACAATGCATCTCAAGAATTCATCCCATCTTTCTCTCAAGAAAAGCGCAACTTGTGCAGAGAGTATAAATAGAGTAACATTTCTTAGGATGAATAGGACACTTCCAACCTAAGTACAGTTTTTTATGCTAAATGTAAATGCAATGCGACCGTGGTCCAAAAGGTCTGGGAGTGTCTCTACAATTTTTCTCGGAAGCTAACAGTTTATCGAAAAAGTTCCTGATTCCACTCATTAAAACTTATACCTTTTTGTATCTAAATTCTTATCTTCTCTCTTTATATTCTTTTTAACATAAAATGATGAAGCTAAGTCATTTCAAGCATTATTCCGTGGCACCACATTACACAGCCGACATGTTATTTAATGTTACCAAGTTTATCAAAGGTATTATATCTAGCAGCATTATAACAAGAAAAAACTGAACTCGAATCTCATATCGTTAAAATTCTTTCTAACTTACACTACAGCATCGTTTGACACCAGAGATTGTAAGTGTACACTTCGCTCTTCATCGAGGACTCTTTCGAGCCGAAATTTTACAGATTGTGCGACGTATTCGCTTCCAGAAAGAGGAACAAGGAATACGTGTTGAGTCAGGCGGTCAGGCAGGGCATATCGCTTCAAGGCCAGAACGATACATATATGTGTTAACGAGCGTCAGATATTGCCAT